ACCCTAACCCTAACCCTAACCCTAACCCTAACCCTAACCCTAACCCTAACCCTAACCCTAACCCTAACCCTAACCCTAACCCTAACCCTAACCCTGTGTAATCCAATTCCAGAAAGTCTCATGCCACAGCCTCATGCAGGTCACTGTAACAAAGAACAAACAGTTTTCTCAGAAATGCCAAAGTTAGGCACTCTAACCAGACCATCTTGAGGTTAGATGGACCTCACGCCGTCAAACCTGTAGGGTTTTGGGTGCTGCTTCACCAGCTGGCTTCCCTCAGCCCTCTCTTAATGCCTATAACACAAACTCCAAAAACCCTATTGGGGACCCCCTTGTAACCCTAACCCTAACCCTATTCTAGAGATTTTTCACTCTTTTGCCCATATCTCCATCAAAACCCCCAGGGTAGCATCTGAAACTTCAACAGAAGTATCAGCTCATCTTTCTGCTTCTTCTGAGCCCATGTTGTTTTTCAATCCCTTTGGGGACCCGTATGTAACTCTAACCCTAACCCTAAATTCAGATTGCGTCAGAGCATGAGTGGGTCTTGAGTGCACGCACGGACGCTCCGCACGCGCGCGCGCGCGCACGTCTTGATAGTCACGTGCCACATGAGTATGCGCCGGCAATTGCATTGTCCGGCGACCGGTGCGCTGGGCAATCTGAATGCACGCACGCGTCGAAAGAGTCGATCGAGAGTCACGAGTCCGCAAATCGCGCGCGAGATCCGCGACTTGCACGACGTTCTAACCACCATCATCGCACCTCCTAGTCTCAAGACTCACGACGGACCCGTTCGCACATATCACCGCCAGCATCATGTCCTCTTCACCCCCTCACACGTACCCTCAACCGTACCTCTCCTCCGGAACTTCCTCGACGGGATTGACGTTCGATGCCAGCAAGATCAAGCTGCACAAGCTGGTGTGGGAAGCGCCGCACGTTTTGCGAGTCAGTTTCGATAGGAAACCAGTCAATAGCTGGATCGAGCTGTGAGTCAGTCGCGGGGCGAGGCGAGGAGGGAAAGCGAAGAGAGGAAAGGGCGAGGCTTCGCAGCTCACACACGGGCGGGGCTTCGCAGCTCACGCACCCTTCCCCTCCCCCCACGCTAGCATGTGGCGAGAGTTGGCGGCCATCTTTGCACACATTCGCACGGATGCGAATGTCAATGCGGTGGTGCTGAGCGGCGAGGGCAGGTGCTTCACAGCCGGTCTGGATCGTGAGTCGGGGTAGGGGAAGAGGGGAGCCACCGTCGCAGCAGCGGCTGTCGCACCAGCTTCCCCTATACTGACCGAGCACACGCACCTGCATACAGTCTCTTCCTCCTCTCTGGGCGCCATTCTGGATCAAGAGACGGACGTAGCTCGTAGAGCGTGGCGCGTTCGTATCTGGCTGAGGGAGCTGCAAGATGCTCTGACGATGATGGAAAAGTGCGATAGACCCATCGTTGGAGCTGTGCACGATGTGGCGTACGGTCTGGCCATCGATCTGCTGTGCTGCGTGGATGTGAGGATCGCAGAGAGCAAGGCTAGATTCTCCATCAAGGTCAGTCGCGGCGAGGTCGGCGTCGGCGTCGGCGTCGGCACGACACTCTACTTACACACCACCCTGCCGACATGCACAGGAAGTGGATGCGGGATTAGCAGCAGACGTGGGCACCTTGCAGCGTTTCCCAAAAATTGTAGGCAACGAGTCGGCAGCGAGGGAGCTAGCATTGACAGGCAGAGAGTTTGACGCTCAAGAAGCGCTACGCATCGGATTTTTGAGTCGCGTGGTGGAAGGAGGCAGGGATGGCGTGCTTGGTGAGCGAGCGAGCGAGCGAAGCGCCTCACGAGCGATCCACGAAACGCCGCGGGTGGAACGCGCGATGGGACCCGCTGACATCCCACGCACCCACGCACGCACCCACGCACGCTTCACGCACGGCGCCACCCAGCCGCGGCCATCGCGATCGCAAAGGACATTGCATCCAAAGCGCCCATCGCTGCGCGCGGAACCAAAGATTTGCTGCTTCATGCCCGGGATCACAGGTGAGCGAGTTTGGGAGCGTTGGTTGGTGAGCGTTGGTGAGCGTTGCTTGGCATCTGGCTGACTGCGTGCGTGCGCTCCCACAGCGTCGATGATGGTCTGGCATACACGGCGGCTTGGAACGCTGCCATGCTGCAGAGCGAAGACATACCCGTCGCGGTGAGTTGCAAGAGGCGCGCGTCGCATCGCTCGCTCTCGTCACTCAGTGAATTCGCCGGCTCCCCGTAGATGGCCGCCGTGCTTCAAAAGAAGAAGCCAACGTTTGAAAAGCTTTGAGAATGCGCGCGTGCGTGCGTGCGTGTGCGTGCACCACTGCACTGTTTGCCGCGAGCATCCTTGCCCGAGACCATACTCATGACTACAGTACACCATTTCATCATCGCGCTGGTACGATGTGCGCTCGCGCGCGGTTGAATGATCATGCTTGCCCAAGGCGATCTTAAAGTACACCGCTTCATCATCACACATCACGCGGCGCCCCTGCTCTTCTTGCGCACATCTGCCCCCTCATCATCGCCCTCCATAGCCTTTCTCTTGTTCCTCTCCTTCTTTCCCATCCTCTTTCTGGGCCTCTCTTCGGCCTCTCTCGTCGTCGTGCTGGATGGGTCTGCTACTGCGCCAAGTCCCCGCTGCGCATAGTCTTTGCCGTACCTCTTTTGCAGACCGCTCCTAAACTCTTTGAGTCGACGATTGAGATCGTGAGGCTTGGCGCGTCCACGGCGGTAAGGCTGTATATGCTTCAGGCCCACTATGCCGTTCAGCTCATTATCATCCGCCAGCAGAATCTCCACCGCAGAAAGCCCATAGTCCGTCTTGGCCACGGGTTCGTACTTGAAGCGGGTAGGCTGATCGCCAATCTGCATGGGCGAGGATGCGCGTGCTCGGGTATCAATCGCGTGCGCGAGTATCGATCGCATGCTCGCAACAACCGCGCACACTCACCACGTCTTCGTAATTCGCACTGTAGTACGCATCCACTGCGCTATCCAGCTCGCGCTGCTGACCCGCCTCATCCTGGTGTGACTCGGGCTGACGATCCGCATCCATCTCCGCTTCGTCTACCTCTGCATTTGCATCCTTGGTGGCCACCCTCTTTTCGGCCGCCTTGAGCTTCTTCTTCAGCTTCTTGCGATCCTTTTTGGACATCGTCTCTCGCGTCGCCCCGTCACCGAGCTGCTCAGCTCGATGGCCGGACATGAAATCGGCATCCATCTCAATGTCTGCATCGTCGACTTCCGCTACGTGCTCCGGCAAGTCGATCTCCTCATCCCACATGGGCTTTTCGAGGGTGTCTTTGCCGCCTCCGAACTGGTCATCCCGCTCGTTGTAGTACTCTTCGTCGAAAGCACGTTGCATGGCACGATCGTGAGCTGCCGCATCAAAGTCGCCCTCCAAATCGAGGTCCTCGAGATTGATGGCTGTGGTGTGGACGCGACTTCGCATCAAGATCCGCGCGCCCGGTTCTACCCGCACCAAACCCCACTCACTGCTGCTACCAGTCACCTCCCTGAGCCTCCTCAGCCTCTCAATGACATCGCGTTGTTTCAGCTCCGCCAATCGCTTCAAGTCGCCCATCTTTTGCCTCTTTTCTTCCTGCTTGCGCGCGTCTCTCTCTGCCCTCTGATCCTTGCGCTTGGTATCCTGTCTTCGCGCGCTGCCTTGCGGATTGCGCGCGTAGGATTGGATCTGCTCGGATGCTTTGCCAGCTTCCAAGGCTTCGAATCGAAAGTTGTACGCGTTCTCGTATGCCTCCGCTCGATCATCGAACTCGTCCTCCGACGCCAAAGCGGCTGCTTCTGCCTCCCAGTCTCTGCCATCGGCAGAAGACGCTGCTTGGCTTGCATCGTCCGGATCCTCCTCTTTGGTCCTAGAGGAGGAGGCTACGTGCGCGCGTGGAGCAGCCTCTGGGCGATCTATCCATCCGCGGTTGAGGATGTAGCTGTGGGCGAGGCGAGCATGAGCGGCACCTCTCATCGACGCCCTCTAGGCGCAGTCAACGCACCTCGTAAGAAAGTCTTCGTTTTGCCTCTCTTCACTCTTCTTTTCCGCGCTACTCGACGTCTTTTTGCTCTCCTTGCGCTTCGTTGCGCGGAGATTAGGGACGCTCTGATCATCAGCCTGCCCGTACCCCTCCAGCAATTTGCGCACCTCATTCTCCTTGTCCGTCCCAAGCGCCCCAAGTAAATGTGCCCTATACGCCTGCGAGTCTTCGCCAGACTCGTGCGATTGTGCGCCGGCCTTTGTGAAAAATTCTTGCTGAGCATCATCGTCATCATCGACGTCCGCATCGTTGTGGAATGCTCGCGTCACTTCTTGTTGAAGCAGCCTCTCCTCGTCAGCCGGTGCCAACTGACCGTACGGCGCGTCATCGTCATTGGCGTAGCCGCGCGAGACTGCAGTAGTAGCATCCGCCAGAGCAGCTGCGGGATCCTTGTGCTTACTTATAAGCTCGTTGATTCGCGAGCGCTGATAGTCTGCCAGCGTAACCCTCTTGGAGGAGGAGGAGGAGATGGAAGCCATGGCTTTGGATGAGCGCGGGAGTGCGACGTTGGATGCACGTGATCGCTCGTCTGGTCGAGTAGAGAGGGGAAACAACGAGGGCGCGCGCGCGGTTTGCCTCGACAGTGAGTATGCGTGCAATGCCAACCCGAGTGCCCAATATGATTCTGCGCACCACTCACCATCGAAAACGCGCCTTGTAGCATCGTATATGCTCTCATCCTTGCCTCTGATCTTGGCGATGGTGCGCAGAATAGCAGCATCCACATCCGCAGTCACTTCTTCACCTTCAGAGTCTTCATCCGTATCGTCGCCACTGCTGCTGCTCGAGTCATCCTCGCCACCACCACCATCACCACCACCACCAACACCACGCTTGCCGTACCTCTCCTCCAGACGATGTTGTTCGGCGCGTTGCTTGTTGTGCTGAAAGCGCTTGGCAAAGTCCGCATTGATGCTGAGATCTGTGCCCGCGTCGGGCGAGTCCGCTAGCAGATCCATGCTGAGCCCACGCATGCAAGCGATAGCAGATCAGATGAACGTGCGAGCGCGTGATGGTAAAGGATGGAGAGATGCGGATGATGGAAGAAGAGAGCGCGAGCGCGACGAGTGCTTGACAGTTGAGTCACGAGTGAAGGGGGGGGGGGGGGGGGGGGGGGGGGTGCTCGCGCGCGCGCGCGCTTGCGCGCAGAACAGAAAAATCTGGCCCAGTGGGGCGCATAGCGGCAGCCGAGGCGCGCGGCGCGCGGCGGGGCGGGGCGACGCGCTTGCTGTGTGTGGCGGTGCAACTTTTGGAGCGAGCGAGCGAGCGAGCGGGGTGGCGCGGTAGACTCGTGAGTCGTGACTGACGTGCCCACTCGAGAGACTCTTTTTCACTTTTTGACATTTTGATTCGTCATTTTGACTCGAAGGCCCCTCGCTCCATCTCCCAAACTCGAGGCTTTTGCGGCGCGTGCGACTCGCGACTCGCGACTGTTCAGACACGTACCGCTTCGCTTGCGAGACAAGATATCGCCAAGCAAGGGTTTCCTCTTTGCTCGAAAGGTTCGCACAGGGCAAGGGCGCGCGGGCGGACGGGCGGACGGGCGGACGGGCGCGCGGGCGGTGACACTTCCACGCGAACTACGACGTCGTTGGCTCCACTCTTGATTCGCTCGTCCCCCCACCCCCCCACCAAACTTCACGAAAGCAAGCCCTCAACCCTCAACACGACGACGCACCACTCCTTGCAAGGCTGTACCGGTCGAGTGTGTCCCATACGCAACAAAGAGCGGTCGTGGGCGCTCCCTCGCACGCGTGCTCGCGCTGCTTGTACACTCGTGACTGTGAGTGTACATGCGCATCACTTCGACGTGCGGCGTCGCAGACCATCACAGGCAGAAATCATTCATCAAAAATTGCTTTTCAAGACACGCGATGCGACTCAACATGTGCGCGCGGTCGTGGATGTGGGTGTGCTCGGAGAGGAGAGGAGAGAGGCCGGCGCTGGGGCTTTGATAGAGGCGAGCGTGCTCGAGGACGTGTGCGTGCGGGATGATATACATAAAGCTGGGCCAGCGCGTGCGCGTGCGCGGAACGAGTCTGGGAGCGGGAGGGGCACCGGCAACAAGCCAAGTCGTTCCAAGAGCCTGTCGCCAATCGAAAGACTCGCCTTGCAGGGGCGGCAAATGTGCTCACAATGTGAGAGCTGATGCGCCAGCTATCTGGTCGAAGGCCTCCCTACATTTGTCGGCTTGGAACAGGAGAAGAGTGGTGATGTGCGCGCACGCCGCCCTGATGAGACTGCGAGCGCGGACGCCATGACGCGCACAAACGCGACGACGACCACGACGACCACGACGATGGTCAAAGATCCATCTCTCCAGTTGGCTGCTATTACTCCTCGATCAAAGATCCATCTCTCTAGTTGGCTGCTGTTACTCCTCGATCAAAGATCCATCTCTCCAGTTGGCTCCTCTTCCTCCTCATCAAAACTTCCAGCATCGCTCATCTCCTCATCCTCCTCCTCCTCTTCCTCCTCCTCTCCCGCATTGCCAAACGCATCGTCCGCGGCTTCCTTGGTAGCGTACCTCGCCACATACTCCTTCACCTTGCTATCGTACGTCTTTGGCTCTCGCATGAGCAGCGCTGCCGCCTCGCCGTTCAAAGGGTCCGTGGGGTTGGGGTACCTCAACAGCTGTGGCAAAAAGACTTCAAAGATGTTGACCATGTCGAACATGGGAGACCAAGTCTGGTTGATGACGTCCAAGCACACCGATCCAGACAGCTCGTCGATGTTGGGATGGAAGATCTTGTTCATAAAGCCTGTCGAGGAATGATGTGTGCGATTGCAGTGTGAGCGATCGCCACCCTGCATTGGCAGCTCCCACACACGCAGCTCACCGATCGAAGGAGACTTGTAGGGATACTGGTCTTGCAGCTCGACGTGAATCTTCCACACTCCTCCCGCGAATGGTGCTGCGAGGGGCGAACGTCAGGAGCGCGTGTGCGTGTGCGTGTGCGTGTGCGTGTGCGTGTGCGTGTGCGTGTGTGCGTGTGAGCGGGCGTGCTGCAGTCGCGAGTGCACTGCCATGCCATCCCAGCCGTCGCACCACTCGTTGCAGCTGCCCCCCGCCCCTCATCTCCATCACCGCGCGCTGTCAAAAGTCACGACTCACTCTCATCAGGCCCATGAAACCTGACAAAGAACTCTTGCATCGAATCATTGACCAGCGTGACTTCATGATCGCTCATCAGCCTGGTGGTGCGTGGGCGCGGGCGCGGGCGCGCATAGCAGATGTGTCAGAGTAGCCCCTCTCTCCCGCGCGCGCGCGCCTCAGCCAGCTAGGGCATACACGTGCCAGGTTCGTTCGTTCCTAGCAAGCGCATGCACACTCACAGCTTCATCATATCCGTTTCGATTCTGCGTTTGGGGGAACTGTCGGGGGTGAGGGCGCGGGGTGGGGGGTGGGGGGGAGAACACTGATCAGCACCGAGCCTGTGCTGTGCGCCTTGCCAAGCCAGACCGCACCGCGTCCCGACTGGTCGCTCACTCACCTCATCTTCGTAAGGGGCGTCTTTAGCCTTGGCTGATGGGACGGCAGCGGCGGGGGGGCTGCTTCGAAGCGCTGCTAGCGAGCGTCTGTCGAATGAAGCTCAATCACAAGCTGCCTTGACGGATGAGTGGAATGTGGAGGGGGCGATAAGGGTTACTGCTTGGCTGCTAGGTTCAAGCGAGGCGAGGGTGCGATGACGTGAGCGAATGGGGACCGGGGCAACGCGCTTCGAGAGTAGCGTGAGCGTGAGCGAGGTTGGAATGTCTGCTTGAGATGCGATGGATGCGGAGCGCTTGAATGGGGAGCTGAAGATGGATGGATGGATGATGGAGCAAGTGCGAGCGAGGGCGTTGTTGTAGCAGCGCGTGAGATCTTGTACGTTGTATGCGCTCGCACGCACGCCCTCGTACCCACAGCCACGCCCATGCAGCAGCAGCAGTCGTGACTCCGCTATCTCGCGATCACGCCCCACCGCGCCTGCATGCGCGCATGACCCTATAACGCGCCATGCATGCACACCGCGGCAGGGAACCCGCGTATGCAGCAGCAGCCTCATGTACGCATTGAGCAAGCAAGCGATCGAGCCAAGCAGCCCCTCTCCGTTCTCGCACGGAAGACCTAATCGCGCGCGGGCGGGCGGGGCCGTACCGTGCCGTGCCGTGCCGTGGCGCTTATCGCGTGCGTGGGTGCGTGCGTGCGTGCGTGGGTGCGGACGCTCTGGTCACGCGAGGACAGACCGACCATGGCAGCCATGCTGCAATCACGTGAATCACGAATCAAAATCACTCACACTGTGACTGAATCGTGGATCACAATCGTGAATCGTGAATCGTGAATCACGAATCAAGAATGCAAGAATGGCAATTAAGCCTTGCTTGCAGAGCCGGCTCGCTTCACTCGGAGTACTCGCACTCGCACTCGCACTCGCACTCCCACTCGCACTCACACTCGCACCTCCTTGCCTTGCTGCTTAGATGTAATGTGTGCATGGAACAGCGTTGGATGCGCGGGGAGTCAGTCGACTTGCGACTCTTTCGCGTGGAATCTCGAATCTCTCGAATCACGAATTCGTGTATAGATGTGGACGCCCGCCCGCGAGACTGTGCACTCTTGGCTGTGATGCCGCGCCGCCAGACTCTTGGCTAGCTGTTCCACGTACAGCACGACAAAAAGGTCAGGTCGAGTCGAGTCGAGGTGAGGTCGGGGTGGGGCGATGGGGGTTGATCATTGTATTCCCCCGTCGCGCTCGCGCTCGCGCTCGCGCTCGTTCAAGCATCTTCTTCTGCTTCTCACATGCCCCCCCCCCCCAATCGGGCGAGCTCATACGTTTGACTCATCGCGAGGCCGACCGAGCGTACAATCAACCCTCTCCACCTCCCTCCCCCTTCCTTTAACCCCCCTCGCTTCTTCTAATCACGATCGCGACTCGTGCACCCTAGTCTATCAAGACATGCGAAGAGTGTGCGCAACACGCGGGAGGGCAACAAAAGACGCTTTTTGCAAATTCCGCGCATTTCCAAAACTTCGCTTGAGCACGAGGCTCGAGGTCCCCGCATACAAGCGTGTGGCAACGTTCCAAATGCAGCAGCAGCAGCAGCAGCAGCAGCAGCAACCAGTAGTACTTGAGCGCCCCCCCCGCCGCCGCCGCCGCCGCCGCTTTCTTCCCCTCTCACAATCTCGCAATGTTCCTCCTCCTCTCTTTGCGCACCCTGCAACAGTTCGCAAGACGACGACGGAGGGCGTGCTAAAGGTCAGACGAAGTCGTTCGTTCGCGGGGGATGCATCGGGTAGTCGAGCGCGCGCGCGCGTACATGCATCTCTCCGTCTCTTTTTGGGCTCAAAGCTTGGGTACGAACTGCAGCATTTGACCGCCATCCACGACGATGCCTTGTCCGACAATGTGAGCACCGGCTCTACTGCAGAGCAGCAGCGTCAGACCCGCAATGTCTTCCGGCGTGCCCGTGCGGCCTGCGAAAGGGCGACAGGGAAGCGTGGGCGCGCGAACGTGAGTAGGGCCGTAGAACTCGTGCAACACATGCGCGTTCCACTCGACTCACCAGTCGGCTGCACGCCTTCGAGGATCTCCTTGTTATTGGTGAGCGCATAGCTGGTCATGCGACTGGGAAAGACGCCGGGCAGAATGGCATTGACGAGGACAAACTTTTCGGACAAGGAGTTGGCCATGGTTCGAGTCAGGTGAAGCGAAGCCGCCTTGGATGGTTGGTCTGATGTCGATGTCGATGTCGATGTAGATGCGGGCGCAAATCAGCTTGTGAAGCGCGCGTTGGCATGCGTGCGAAGCCAAGCGTAGCGCTCGCTACTCACAGCTCCAAGTTCCCGTACCCGGCTCGCCCAGTCCACCCTCTGCGATGGGCGCAATGGCGGCAGTGCTTGCAATGTTGATGACGGAAGCCTGCTTCGTGTTGGACTTGCCAGCTTCCAAGAGCGGCAGCAGGCTGCGCGGGGTGGGGGGGGGGGGGGGGGGGGGGGGGGGGGGGGGGGGGGGGGGGGGGGGGGGGGGGGGGGGGGGGGGGGTGCCAGCGACGCGACACGTGAATCAGTCAGTCGATCGATCGCATCGCGTGCACGAGCGCAAAAGAATTGCTCCTCGCGCGTCATTGTACCCCGTAATCTCCTCGCAGCACTCGCGCAAAAGAATTGCTCCTCGCGCGTCATTGTACCCCGTAATCTCCTCGCAGCACTACTCGCGCAAAAGAATTGCTCCTCGCGCGTCACGCAGCAACTCACGCGACGGTGAGGTAGAATTGGCTCTTGACGTTGAGGTGAAACACCTTGTCCCAACCCTTTTCCTCTGGGAAATCGTCCAGCATGCCGCCCCACGTGATGCCGCTATTGTTGACGAGAATGTCCAAAGATTTCTCGCCGGCCGACTTGATGGCGTCTGCCAAGGCATAGCAGCCCGCCTTGCTGCCAACGTCTGCTTGAAGCGCAATCACCGACGGGGCTGAGTGCGTGCGTGTATGCGTGTGCGCGTGCATGCGTGTTGTTGAGCGAATGCGTGAGGCTCAGCTTGGCAGGCAGATGCACCGATCGATGACTTGCCACTCACAAGCAGAGCCCGATGGCGCCAACTTTTGCATGGCTTCAGCCTGCTTTTTCAGCTCGTCGATCTTGCGCGATGCAATGTACACTGTGGGCAGCGCAAAGAAAAAGGAAAAAAGTTGCGAGATGGCGTTGGCTTTTCGCTGTTGCCCTGTCCCCGAGGCCGCTGCGCTCATCATCGTCAGACAAGTCCGTCACGTCGCATCCTCACCCTTTGCTCCATTGCGAACGAGCGCAGTAGCCATCACTGACGCGGGGGCGGGGCAAGCGTCGTTCGTGCGGCAAGTCAGCTAGCAGCGGTAACGGGGCGAGTCGAGTGGGCCAATCTGTCATGCCACGCCGTGCCGCGCACCATGTCATCACCCTCACCCTCCCCCTCATCCCCCACTCACTCTTTCCCAGACCGCTACCACCACCCGTAACCAGCGCGACTTTTCCCTTGACGCTGAAGATATGGCTGGAGCTCAGCTCCGGCATGGTCTCGGGCGACACATCCTTTGGCATGTTGATTGAACGAGGTGCGGGGGTGTGCGTGCGTGTGCGTGCGTGTGCGTGTGCGAGATGAAGAGAATTTGGGTCTGGCGAGACCGAGACCGAGTGCGAGTGCAGGAGTGTTTTCTTGCGTGGGTGAAGGGATGGAGGGCGGGGATGAGGGAGTCACGAGTTCGGAGAATTTTGATTGGCGTGCGTTGGGAATCACAATGCTCCTGACTATACGCATCTCTTCTCGTCTCTCTGTGCGGGGCACCACACACGCACACACGCACGCACGCAAAGCACGCAGCGGTTCCAGCACAGCTAGGCGCCATGCCAATAGGTGCATGCGCACCAACATCCTTCAGGCCACGGCCACGGCCACGGCCACTCTTTCGGCCCGGAGGTCACAAGTCACCATGCAGCGCGCGCGCGCGCGCCACAACGATGGAGCGTCACGTGATGATGCATTCGACGCAAGGCCTAGATTCACGTGATTGCATGCCTGCATGCATTCTTGATTGTGATTCAAGATTCACGATTGCCATGCAGCTAGCTACTTGGCTGGCCTGCCTCGATCATGACTTGTACTTGTGGTTTGGCCTGGCCGACAATCACCACGATCCAAGCACGAGGCACGCACGGGCAACTCGGTAGGCTGCTCTCATCTGCTGCGGTCTGCTCCGTCTTCAGTCGGACCTCCAAGTCGTGACTGCAGCCATGTCTACGGCTATGCATTCCTTCGACTCCTCGATGGGCAAGCAGGAGGGCAACCACGCGCGCAAGGAGAGCGCAGCAGCAGCAGCAGCCTCTGCCTCTGCCTCTGCCTCTGCCTCTGCCTCTTTGCACGCCGCTTCAGCTTCCACCAGCACTTTTCGAAGCGCAGAGACGCAAAGCAGCAACGAAGCGGATAGGCGGCGCAGTCTGACTCCACCACCAATAAGCTCGCCGCCGTTGCAGCCCGCCACGACGCATCCGATTGGCGAGAGCAGCAGCAGCAGCAGCAGCAGCAGCAGCGATGGCGATGCGGATCGCAATGTTGATGCACGCGCTATGCCAACGCCCACGCCCGCGCCCACTCCTCGCGTGCTCGGATCGCCAAGTCCAGCAGACGCGCCTTCTTCCCCTTCCACAACAACCCCTCTGCCACACTACTACGTCCCATCCAAGATTCCCTCGTTGCGGCACGATGCTGGAGCAGCGCGCAAAGAAGCGCGAGCTTTAACCGGTTGGGGAGCTGTGGGAAACGTTGCGGGATCGAGGAGCGCCACGCCGACTATGATGAGGATGATGAGGATGGATGATGTTGCTGATGCTGCTGCTGCTGGAGAGCGGCGATTCAGGGCGGCATCGCCTGTACCGAGTGCGAGCATGGACGAGAGCAGATCGCCTTCCAGAGCTTCGCGCGCCGCTTCCACTTGGCATCCTCTCTCGCACGAGCACGAGCACGAGCACGAGATGCAAGAGCGCGTCACGCCGACGCCGACGTCGCCCACAACTCCTTCCCGCAACAACGGCCAGCAGATGGCTTCGCCTTCCAAATTGCCGTCTGGCAAACGCGGAGCGAAGCGAGGAGCAGGAAGAGCGGCATGGGGCGATCATGTTCAGGCACACGCTATACTGGGTGCGGGAGTGTACGAGGAGGACGATGATGGGGCGGATTTCGTTGCCGCGGGTAGAGAGTGGGATGCCATGTATGCGCCCGGTGGTCCTGCTTCCGCTCCTGCTCCTGCTCCTCCTCCTCCTCCTCCTCCTCTGCAATCTCCTCGTAGAAGCGCTGCCAGCAGGCTGTTCCATCTGGCTCAAGGTTTGAGAAAGAGGACGGGGCATGCTGCTTCACCATCCATTGCGCAACATCGTGGCACACCGTCCGCTCATCGTGTCATCGACGATCCCGAACAAGCTGCACAGCAGCAGAGCAGTAGTCATGCGAGTCCCAGCTCCATCGTTGGGCAAGATGACTCGTTGGAGAAGGCTCGTGCCGACGACCCAGCAGCTTCCGCTCATCGTCGTCCGACATTCCTGCACGCGAGCAGCAGCAGCTTTGCAACGCTGGCGCAGGACGCATCAGCCAGCAGCGGGGCGGCGAGCGCGTCAGCGAGCACGAGACAGCCGAGTCAGCAGCAGCAGCAGCATTCAAATTCTCGGACGGAATTGTTGGGCACGGAAGCGGCGCATGCTGCTGCTGCTGATCGGAAAGAGAGCGGCACTGGACCTGCTGCTGGCCGTTGGAACAGCTTCAAGCGCGCTTTGATCCTTGCCAACGCCGTGGTGAGCAGCGCTTGCGTGTCGAGGCGGCAATCCGGTCACGCTCCGCTCCGCTCCCTCAGCGCTCGCCCACCCACGACTTACGCATGCCCACGCCCCCTCCCCTTTGCAACTCCTGCACAGCTCACGGCGTACTCTGTCACGCTTCTCGTCATGCTCATCCTGCTGTGGGGTCAAGTATTTGTCAATGGCGATGTCCTCATCGCCACGAATCACACGGCCATGGCGCGTGAGTAGTAGCAGTCGCAGTCGCAGTCGCAGTCGCAGTCACAGTCACAGTCGCCAAGCCCTCTCCACGAGCAAAAGTGTATTCCAGCGAGCTGCTTGCGCTCGCAGCAGCAGCCCGCAAGTGTTTCGCCCATTCTCGGACTGATCATTCCTCTCTGTCGCATCGCAGTCGCAACAGCCGCAATGTGCTTGAGCTGCGCAACCGCACTCATAGGCTGGCTCGGCATCTTCCTCAACAATCGTCTCTTTCTCACCATCTACAACTTTCTGTTTTGGCCCAGCCTGGCATTGATAGCCGCGCCAGCATACCTGACGTATAGGAAGCGCGAATTCAATCTCGAGGGCAAACTCAATCAGCTCTGGTCCAGGCAACTTTCCAACGCCGAGCGTCTGCTCATTCAGCACGCGTTCGACTGTTGCGGATACTTTGGACCCTACGTCCTCGCTGCTGCCGATGGTCAACGCTGCTTCTCTAGGAGCCTCAAGGACGGTTGCAAAGCTTCCTTGTTGCGATTCGAGAGGGACGCTTTGCATACGATCTACTCGATCGCTTTCGCCATCGGTGGCGTTCACATCCTGATCATCACCGCCGCAATCCTCTGCGCGGACCATGTGACCTACATGTTCGGCAAAGGCATCACCCCCTTGCAGTCATATCCTACCCACGAATCGCTCCATGTGAGTCTTGACCCGGGACGAGTCGGGAGCGTTTGCGTGTGGAGGAGGAGGGATGAGCGCGAGCTGATTTTTGCGGATCGCTGCGAATCTACTGCAGGTCGCACCGTCTAGCCGATCACGTGCTCGGCGACGTCCATTTTTTCCACTTGTCCTCAGAGCGCCGCTCCGTCCTTTTGGCAAATGAAAAAGACGCGCGCACGACATTGGAGCACACGGCCTGTCTGTTGCACGTACACGAGAGGGCTATGTGAGTTCTCTCTGATGGTGATCGTCGAGTGGGCCGGCAAGTCGGCCCCTTCATCGATCGCCTGGCGCGTCACAATGACAAGTCACATCGATGACCTTTTAAGCGGCACCTCGGCCCAGCGTCGACATGATGTGGAGCAGTGGCAGGCTTCGCGACGTGTCTTTGACCACAGCCGCTTCCGGAGTGCTGTTGCATAGCCTCGCAAGATAAATGTTGTTGCGCTGCGCAGACGAGCTATCAAGGACCGCTCGTTGAGCGCGCGCGCGCACGTCATATCGAGCGCTTCGGCGTGCGAATCGTCCGGACACGCAATAGGATGCGCGTGCGCAGGTGGAAATTGGCGGCGGAATGTACGGACGCGGACGCGGACTGCTTGCGACGGATCGACGCGCGGCGTATTCGTGGACCGTCGCCGCTCGCATCGAAGTGATGCTTGGAAAAGGGATGCCGTCGAATGGGGGCGCCCGCCACATCAGCTTATTCAGGCCGGTAAGACCGAGCATTCTTTCAATATGCCTGGCGTATCAGCCTCACCGTCCGACGTGACGTCTAGGCAAAATCGCAATGCACGGCGTTGGGGAGGCAGCGCGAGCTTTGACATGCCGACATGGACCAAATCGTACACACTTTGTGCGTGTATATGGTGCGCCAAGTCTCTTGGACAATGAATTGGACGTCTGCGTACAGTGCCTGACCATCCGCGGGCAGTCCGTCTCCGATGCCGAGGAACAAAGCGACTGCACACTACAAAAGGGGGCACAAATCTGTCTCGGAGGCGAGATCTGGCCCTGACCACCAGCAAAACTGCTCGTCTCTTCCTAGCCTTTTTTCCCTTTCGCACCCTTTCAAACGATGTTCACCCTCATACGAACCCTCGCCATCTTGACGTTTCCCTTAGCAGCAATCGTCAGCGCTGCACCCAAGCCTCAGGCGTGGTCGAGCTCGCGCGCCGAGGTAGCAAAGACTTTGCGGGATCACATCGATTCAGCGTTGGGTGGGGAGCTGAGCGACCTGCAAGCGATTTGGCTCGGCCAGCTTCAAAAGAAGTGAGTAGCCAAGACGAGAGCTCACGTGGCGTGCGCACCTCGCGCTAATCACGCCCTTGCGCTGTGTGCATCTCTTTAGACAGCCCTTTACGCCGTACGCGTCCGACGCACTCACGAACACACTGCAAAAGATTCCAGACGAGCTCGGCGAGAATAGCTGGTTCACCTTCAACGCAGCCACGGCTATGAAAGTGCTGAACGATTGGGACACGACGGGTTATCAGACCTTTGCCATCGAGATGACCAAGCAGAGCTTACTGGCCAGCGCCCGCGAGGCGAAGGTGTCGACGACGGTGCACGATGCCGTGGAAAATATCCGAAAGAGCTGGGCTGGGGCTTGCAATGCTCTAGGCACGCTAGTGTGGGTAGACCCACGTCTGCTTTCACTGTGATCTGCGACTGATCCTGCTCGCACACCTGCCATACCTTATATTCAGCGATCCTTTTGCCCCCGTCACCACATCTTTCATCAACAGCTGCGTAGAGCTGAGTGAAGCGCTCAAGGGAGTGAGCAGCGCCTATGCTCGACCCTAGCGCCTGGTGGGACGTGTCTCGGGACGACATCACACACTCGACAGTCGATCGTTGCAAAATAGCCCTGCTCGCCGTTTTGACTTGTTACGCTCTCACGCTGAACACTGTATGCTTCAAAGTGGTAGCATCAAAGCCAATGACGCGCAGTGCATTCCTTGGCGAATTGCGTTCTGCCCGCGCGGGAGTTTGTGCGCGTCGTGCGATCTGCCTGCAGCCTGGACGCCTAGTACTGTTCGTGAAAGTCTCGACGCAGCCAATCACTGAATGATCATCCAGCTTCTTTCCACCGCAAGGCGTCGCAAGTCAAGTACGGTAGTGCAAGATTGGGCTATCTTTCTCCTTTACGAAATCAAAGCGTCGTTGCACACTGCGCAAATTGTCACGCCTACGCTCGTGGCTGCACGAGCTCGACTTTCGAATACGAAGGGAACGGCGTGCAGCGGTCTACGGAGTCGACTCTTGATTCTTGGCGTCTCGAGTCTGCCACTACTCGCAGAGCTGTGCCCGGCCCGCAGCCGCTTGGCAAATGAGCGCAGCGCGGCGTACACGAGTCTACGCAGACCAACTTGGACTCAGGTACATTGTACAAGCATGAGTGAGCTGAAAAAAAGATGCGATCTTGCACCTAGATGGCGGTCGGTTGACAACGTCAAGAGGACACGATCGGATACGACGGAGCAAGAGTGCAGAGTCGAGCGAAATAGATACGCAGCGGCATATCACATGCCATATTGCCGTGCTGCGCCCGCACAAATGGCCATTGCACGCTGCTTTCGAGGCGACGCTAAGCCCATGCCGGCCCTGCGACTGATGAATGGGATGCCGTCGCTCTGCCCTTACGTAGCGCATCCGACAAGACGCAATGAGTAGCCGAATAGCCCAAATAAGCATCAAATGTCTCTGTCGCCCAAATGCGGCGTCGACAATCACTGCGAAAGGTCCGCGGAGCTCGCTGGCGGATGGGGAGCAAAGCCGGCAGCAAAGGACGTACAAAAAGATGCAGCTGGAAAACGCTCTTACTCATCTCTGACCAATTGTCATTCCTGCCCTCCATAGCTCAGCCGAAAAGATGTTCTCGCTCATCCCACTGGTGCTGATATGGGCACTCGTTCTCGCCACGGTAGTACGCACTACCCCTCATCCTGAAGTGGGCCCGCAGCCTGCAGTGGACAAGTCAGACGACGAGATCACCAAGGATCTCAAGGGCTACGTCTCGTCAGCATTGGGCATTGACCTGGCCCGGTGGCAAGGAGCATGGAGCTATCAACTGACCTTCAAGTGCGTATGCGAGGGACTTCTGGGAGCCACACGCGCGCGTGCAGGCTGCTGACACTCACCTTGTTGTCTGCCCTCGTCCAGCCAAACTCTTGACACAGAGGCGCCAAATGGCCTCCTCGACACTCTGAACGCCATCACGACCGAGCTGGAGACCTACAAATCCTACTCGTTGCACGGATCCGCAACGGCTGAAGTGATTGGCGCGTTCGACACGTCGGGCTACATGTCTTTTGCAGGGGAATTGACGCAAAAGGACAAGTTGTACAATGCCAATCAACGAGGCCTTTGGCAGGTCGTAAGAGGTGGTGTCACTACGGCTAAGAACGCTTGGAAATCCGCCTGCCAAGCCATCATGAGTCGCATGTGAGTCGTGATTGGTGTCAGGCCTTACATCTTCTCTGCAGTGAGCTGACGATGACATGCCTTGATGACCTCAGGGCGTCCGACGATCCAAAACACAAGCAGCTTCATCATGGGTGTCTGTACATTGATGGGCGGCTCGGGGTCGTGGAGGTCGCATACTAATGGCGAGAGATTGGTTTCGACATCGCGTAGTTTCGCACGTCGAGCATGGGCACGAAGCGTCGTCGTGCGAATCAAGTGCTACACCTTCACTTTGTCGCTTGTCCTCTAATCTATAGCGCCAAAATTGATGGCAATTAACAAGACCGAACATTCCTGCGGTCAGCTCTTGTTTTTCAACGCAGTTTTGTGTCGGCTGGTGCCTAATGGCAGCTCTCAGCCGATATTGTGTTGAGCTCCCACTTGTCGCCCCTCTGCTACAGAGGGATAATGGTGGAACGTTGAAGGTGCATGCATGTGATATTAGTGTACGTACATGCATAAATGCTTGTGCGACGCCCTTCCCCTCACACCTTCGAAGCACCAAGGCAAAGCATTGTATCAGAACACCCATGTCGCTACAAGACCTCGCTATTGCTCTCCCTCATTGAGCATTGCACAGCCTGCAGTCCTCGTAATCGCTCCAATATCCTCGCAGCGGTCCCGCTGTGTCGCTCTCCTCCAAAATGCACATCACGAAAACACGCCTCGCTTGCGCTACGCTTTTCATGACTACCTTCGTCTGCGCTGTTCCTCGGCCGAGGCATTTTTCCTTCAATGGACAACCACGGGGCACGTCGCAAGATGGTATTGCAAAGGTCCTCGAGACTTGCATCGATGGGGCTCTGGGTGTTGAATTCGCAAAAGTGGCCGGAATTTGGAGCTACGAGCTGAAGACCAAGTGAGTCCGAGCCGACCTCAGGGTATGATGGGCAAGGACATTTCTGCGGCTGGTCAAGTCTTACGAACATCCGAGCTTTATCCTTTCGGTATCATGCAGCGAAACCTTCACTCCGATGTCTTCTATGCCACTATTGGAGACCTTGCAGCGGATTTCGACCGAGCTCAACGATCAGCAGGATTTCAGACTCAAGGGATCATTAGGATGGGATTTGGTGGGCCAACTGAACACTCTCGGCTACAAGTCCTTCGAGGTCGACATGACCCAAGACGACAAGTACGCCAACGCGAGAGATCGGGCTATCTTGAGTGGAGTTTTTGACGCAGTCAGAGAGATCAAGGATGCATGGAAGAGTGTATGCTCCGCCTTATCTTCACGCATGTGAGTAATTTCTTGGTCATGGCGACAGCGATGGACTAAGCCTCCTCTTCGTTTCGGCTATTCAGCGAGGCAACGGACCTGAATCAGCTCTTGGGCTTCAGTTGTGAGGATATTGCAGCTCATCTACAAGCGGTGATGGATTTCTACTACAAAAGATGAGCCTGGGTCCACCTAGATAGTGAGCGCGACACGGCCGTCGAATGAGCCCGAATTATTTGATGAAGACACATGCTCTGACGAACCTTTGATTACTCCTCAAAGGGACCAAGTCAATCACCGTTTTACGCGAGCACTTTCGTCTTTATTGAAGCGTGTTTATCTTGCGATTGGGGGGCTCTCTCTATTCATGGACCGATCGTTACCGTGATCCAGGGGCTTAGTCACGCGAGCAGGTTCTTTCGAGCTCTTTGGCCTTGACGTCATTGACTTTGTGTGTACATTTTACCTTGATTGACGAGAGGCGTGTTTTATGGCGCTTCGACTGTGATCGAGATGACTGAGAGCCAGGTTGGCACTGGTTCTTACATTCTCCTTCGATTGCTTGACTCAGCTAAGAAGCATCTACTCTCCCTACAGGGAACTGCGCTGTGCATTTGAAGCCCATCGCTACCCTGTCTTTGAAGACATGTATCTCTCTGACGACCTTTTGTTTTTTTTTTTGCGCAGCACGACCCTTGCCATTGCATTGTCACTTTGCTCCCGACTCGATCCTTGCCTTCGCTTCGACCCTTCAATTTTGGCCAGCGCAGCAGCATTGAAGCACGCTGCCGTCTATCTCTCTCCCTTGAGACTGCCTCCAGGATTACTGCCATTGCGTCGCTTCGTTGGCGTCCTTCTGTCACCATGTTTTCGCTTTTGGGCGGGGTCTTTTTCACCCTGCTGATGGTGGCAACAGACATTGCGCGTGCGAATCCATACCCGTACGGCTTCACCGACATGTCCATCCGTGAGTTTGTCGGCGTGGCTCATCGCGCGCAACGACTGATGAGATGTCCTCTGTGACACGTTGACCCGAGTTCAGTCGTGCTGTACGACTCTTCGGATGAGCCGACCTGTCGAGGTCTCGTGGCAGCTCACGATTGTTGGGTTGCAGAATGCTTCAAACAGTCAGGCGGTGGTCACGCTGCCTTTGACGCTCTCATCGAATCTGATCGACCTGGAATCGCCTGGGCGGAATGCAGCAAGTAAGTGGCAAAGCTGAAATTTCTTTGCTTTCGAGAAACGATTGTTGAGCTGTCAACCCTGCTCTCGACCAGTGCCATATCGGACTGGACCGCGTCAGTGAGTCGCTGTGGCAGTATAAATTCTACTGCGTTGGATGAGCTCTTTCTGACGAGCTGAACAAAAATGGAAAGGTGACGACTGCCATTGGTGTCCAGAAAGTGAGCGACGGATGATGGACGAGTCCGGCGGGCCAGATTCGAGTGGTTGCTGTTCCACGCGCAAGCATAGCCCACCAGTATGTGGAGGGAGCTCAACTCGTCCCGAAAGCACAGGACTTGCGCAATTGATGATAATCGATCAAGCTACGTGCTGCAGGTACTTCGGAACCAGCATCTTGCAGTGGGTCGTCTCCCGTGCAGCGCGCAGGCCACGCTGATGGAGACAAGAGCTGATTTCGAAGTGGGTACAAGGCTGTGACTGGTTGCGCCGTCGAGAAAAGTTAACAACTGAAAAGATTCGACCGATGCGACGGGCTAGCCCAGTAGCGAAGGGTCGAAGTGCAGAACAGGAACATCGCCAAGCCAGCGGCATGAGTGACCCGCTTGCTCGCCAAGAGCATTCTGCGCAGCCTCCGGCAAGCGCACGCCGGCCATGCGGCGCTGCTGCCAGGAAGGTGCCCCTCCCATCAGGTGCTCTGCTGCTATGGATAGCGAAATGATCTGCTCACGCCTACCTAAAGTCTTGCTTTGTGTGACCGAGCTGTCTAGCCATCCGCAACGACATCCAATAATCCTTTCGAGCACCGCAGAACCGATCCGCCCTTTCGAGCACCATGAAGTCCTCCAACCTCTGTGCACTTCTTGTGGCTATGACCGCGCTTCCATGCAGCAAGTCGATCAGCATTTTGCCGAGGGACGGGTACCCTGATGGATTCACTGCCAAGTCAATACGTGAGTATCGCGCTCTCGTTCTTCTTTGGCTGTGGAGAGCTAAAGGACTCTTCCCTGCCTCAGTCATATCGACCGCCTCCGCCAACAATCAGGACTGTGTGGGCGATCGCGCTTACAGTTGTTGGACCTACACATGCTTCGAAAAGTCTGGCGCTCGCTCGCAAATCAGTGATTTGCAGGCATCCGGTGCCGGTTCGTGGGCAGAGTGCAGCAGGTGAGTCGTTCGGCGGATCGAAACGAATGCAATGCCGGCGTCTCATCTGTATGCTTGTGCTGCACAGCCCCACCGATGACTGGACACGGACTGTGAGTGCAGCGTGCAATGACACCCAGATGACGTTACTTCGAACCGAACGCTCGCTACCATACTTTGTATAGGTGCAGCAGTCTTTGGGATTTCCCAAGATCAGAGATAATTGAGGCGGAAAGACGTGTAGGGCTCCGCTACAAGGTCCACTACACACTTGCAGAGCGAGAAGCCAGAAATCAGACATTTGGATAAGAATCTTACAGTTGAAAAATGGTGAAGGTGATGGTGCTAGTGGTAAAGGCAGCGAGCGGGGTCGGTGCAGGCGGCTAGCGAATCACACCGCCTCGAATCAAGGGCCTTCTATATATATATCCATTCAACGCGGCCGATTTAGCGTCCCCATGCATGCATGATGCTCTTCTGGGCGTCTTCTTAGCTCGAATTTCGAGGTTCGTGATGAACAGCAGGATCCGTTCTGTCACTCTGCTGAATGCTGGCTCGTGACTGCTGGCTTGCAGCCGCGTGCGTCTTTGCATCACATGCATGCCCCCCCC